ATTAGGACTTAAGGTAAATACACTTTGTCAAGTTAACTTTTTTGGTCTTCATTAATTTATTTTTTAAAATTTAGATTAGATGTTTCTCTGGCAAGCGATTACACTTCAAAGACTTATTTTTCCGGTAAAATTGGTTTTATAGAAACGCAATTTCATGGCTTACTAGATGCAATTTTTGATTAATTGTTCGTTTATTTTGTCAATTTATCAAATTATTTAATATTTTCCCGGACTGAATTTATAGGATTATGATCATTCCAATACACATTTTATGACGATCGTTCTTATATTAATTTTAAAATTAATCATTTTCTAACTTCAATTTGATGAATTATAAAGGGCTTTTATTATCATTTAATTAACGTTTTCCTTATTAATGTCATTATATATTTAGTAACATTTAAATTTAAATATCGGTTTAATCCAATTTTATACATTAATAACCTTTTATATTCTTACATTTTACATAGGAGTTTTTAGGTCATGTGAAATTTTTAATTTGCTTATAGTTTAATTATAAAATTGAAGTTTTTCTGTAATTTTTATGGCCCTAGTGTCATATACTTTACTACAAATAATTAACACATAAGTAATAATATCCCCAACTATTTTACAATAAATTGTTATTAGCATTTATAAAATAATTTTCTATGCTAATGTTTCTCGTACATAAAGTGGGAGAACTGTCAAAAGCCTTTCCAACTTCTGTGCCTGCTTTATACGTTTTATATTTTTCTGAAATGACAATTTCTTTCTCTCTCCTTTGTATATTTGTTTACATTTTAATGATTTTACTAACTTTAATTACTACTATCATTACACTATATCTTTCAGAACTTTAAAATGTGCGTTTAATACTCTTGATTGTACTTAAATTAAGGGTATTTTTAAAAAGATTAAAAATTTGTATATACGTGTATTTTATTGTTGCTTTAATTGAATCAATATGATTATGTAAGCCGAAAAACTGGATATTAACATTGGTAGTAACTTTCTGTTTACGTCAAAATATCCAGAAACTGATAAAGTTGGCCTGAGTTGTACTACCAGAGTGGAAAATTCTCTTAATTGCTGCTTCAGAAATTCGTCTTCATTATTAAGTTGCAAAATATGTAATAGTTTGATTATTTTGTAACCAGAATTTTCAATAATATCCCCTGATATTGCGATGATGATGGTCAAAATCTAGAAAATAAAACAGATGATTGATAATAACTCAAAAACATGATTTCTAATAACTAAAAATTGTAATTTAAAGTGTCATTGGATTTAAACAGATTGAAATCTCTATAATTAAAATTTCAATGTTATTCGGAAAATTATAATTTCATTTGCAAGTGTAATAATTGGCATTAGTATTTGAAAATGTAAAGAATTTACTAAAAATTATAAAAAGTATTTTTTAATGATTTAAATTAATATTCAAAGGAAAACACACGTATTGTAATAAAAATCAACAATATGGCTTACATGGAATTAGAGAATTCAATGTAGAAAGTTGTCATTCTAACAAGTCCAACGGTCACGTAAAAATTGAATTTAAATAGAGAAACCAGACAGAAAGAAGGTCGAGTCAGGACTGTAGTGCAGAACTCTTGCTGAAGGCGAGAACTCTCGTTTTCGGGACCGTAAGTCCCAAAACAAAGTAATGTGTAAAATAAAGTTTTTCTGCAGCCATTTGTGAACTATGGGTAAATATCTGTAACTTATTTTTAAAGTGTTTACATTTTCGTCCCGAGTATTATATGTATCTTATGTATTGTATTTTATATTATTATAAGCTAAAGTTTTCAGTGCTATTTTTACTTGTTAATAAGTCCAAACTTATAATCCATTGGGAAGTTTATCTTGTTATAAATTATAGGTGTTCAGATTTGAACATAATAAATTTTTGAACAAAACTTAACCAAGCCATAAAGTTTCAGATCTTGTCACACTAATAAAATTTTTAGAAAGAAGATTTCAATCACTAGAGTCATCAAAAAACACAGAGATGCCAACAGCCAGGATTATGTATCCAAAATCCGATATAAAAACAAGCTATAAAAACAATGGTTATAATACTTGTGAGTATTGCAATAAACTGAATAAACTGAATAAACTGAATAAACTGAATAAACTGAATAAACTGAATAAACTGAATAAACTGAATAAACTGAATAAACTGAATAAACTGAATAAACTGAATAAACTGAATAAACTGAATAAACTGAATAAACTGAATAAACTGAATAAACTGAATAAACTGAATAAACTGAATAAACTGAATAAACTGAATAAACTGAATAAACTGAATAAACTGAATAAACTGAATAAACTGAATAAACTGAATAAACTGAATAAACTGAATAAACTGAATAAACTGAATAAACTGAATAAACTGAATAAACTGAATAAACTGAATAAACTGAATAAACTGAATAAACTAAATAAACTGAATAAACTGAATAAACTGAATAAACTGAATAAACTGAATAAACTGAATAAACTGAATAAACTAAATAAACTGAATAAACTGAATAAACTGAATAAACTGAATAAACTGAATAAACTGAATAAACTGAATAAACTGAATAAACTGAATAAACTGAATAAACTGAATAAACTGAATAAACTGAATAAACTGAATAAACTGAATAAACTGAATAAACTGAATAAACTGAATAAACTGAATAAACTGAATAAACTGAATAAACTGAATAAACTGAATAAACTGAATAAACTGAATAAACTGAATAAACTGAATAAACTGAATAAACTGAATAAACTGAATAAACTGAATAAACTGAATAAACTGAATAAACTGAATAAACTGAATAAACTGAATAAACTGAATAAACTGAATAAACTGAATAAACTGAATAAACTGAATAAACTGAATAAACTGAATAAACTGAATAAACTGAATAAACTGAATAAACTGAATAAACTGAATAAACTGAATAAACTGAATAAACTGAATAAACTGAATAAACTGAATAAACTGAATAAACTGAATAAACTGAATAAACTGAATAAACTGAATAAACTGAATAAACTGAATAAACTGAATAAACTGAATAAACTGAATAAACTGAATAAACTGAATAAACTGAATAAACTGAATAAACTGAATAAACTGAATAAACTGAATAAACTGAATAAACTGAATAAACTGAATAAACTGAATAAACTGAATAAACTGAATAAACTGAATAAACTGAATAAACTGAATAAACTGAATAAACTGAATAAACTGAATAAACTGAATAAACTGAATAAACTGAATAAACTGAATAAACTGAATAAACTGAATAAACTGAATAAACTGAATAAACTGAATAAACTGAATAAACTGAATAAACTGAATAAACTGAATAAACTGAATAAACTGAACAAACTGAACAAACTGAACAAACTGAATAAACTGAATAAACTGAATAAACTGAATAAACTGAATAAACTGAATAAACTGAATAAACTGAATAAACTGAATAAACTGAATAAACTGAATAAACTGAATAAACTGAATAAACTGAATAAACTGAATAAACTGAATAAACTGAATAAACTGAATAAACTGAATAAACTGAATAAACTGAATAAACTGAATAAATTGAATAAATTGAATAAACTGAATAAACTGAATAAACTGAATAAACTGAATAAACTGAATAAACTGAATAAACTGAATAAACTGAATAAACTGAATAAACTGAATAAACTGAATAAACTGAATAAACTGAATAAACTGAATAAACTGAATAAACTGAATAAACTGAATAAACTGAATAAACTGAATAAACTGAATAAACTGAATAAACTGAATAAACTGAATAAACTGAATAAACTGAATAAACTGAATAAACTGAATAAACTGAATAAACTGAATAAACTGAATAAACTGAATAAACTGAATAAACTGAATAAACTGAATAAACTGAATAAACTGAATAAACTGAATAAACTGAATAAACTGAATAAACTGAATAAACTGAATAAACTGAATAAACTGAATAAACTGAATAAACTGAATAAACTGAATAAACTGAATAAACTGAATAAACTGAATAAACTGAATAAACTGAATAAACTGAATAAACTGAATAAACTGAATAAACTGAATAAACTGAATAAACTGAATAAACTGAATAAACTGAATAAACTGAATAAACTGAATAAACTGAATAAACTGAATAAACTGAATAAACTGAATAAACTGAATAAACTGAATAAACTGAATAAACTGAATAAACTGAATAAACTGAATAAACTGAATAAACTGAATAAACTGAATAAACTGAATAAACTGAATAAACTGAATAAACTGAATAAACTGAATAAACTAAATAAACTGAATAAACAAAACAAACCGAATAAACTGAATATTCTAGTTAGTTTAATGAATTATTATTACACTACTTAATACCAGAAATCAAAATATATTCTGTATGAATCATATTTCTACTATTTGCAACTTCAAATTATTTTAAAAAATGATTTGCTTCGAGCAGGGCTTGAACCTGCGACTTCTAGGTTAGTTCAGAATAATTCAGGAAAAAATAAGATTATTATTCATTATTCTAATTATTGTGTGGTATATTTTTCTATAGTAAATATTATAAAGAAACTTACAAACATTGTAGCCAAATATGAAAGTTCAAAAGAAATTTGTTGTTTATAATATACAGTTTTGGGTAAATTCAAAATATAAGCAGTACTATCTATAAATGATACAAATGTTATGATTAAAAACCATAAAATTTTTTTCCCAAAAATTGCATTCACATGCCAAACTATTGAAATATAATATCTGTATGTACTTTTAATGATTTTAAATTTATCATTGAGTCCGTTTTTTGTACGATAAGGATTTTTAATTAGTTGTTGAATGCAATCGCAAAATATTTTTTCTCGAGTTTTCAGCATGGTGGCAATTTCCAGCAGAAAACCAGCTACAGCAAATATCTGCAACAAGAAAATTAACCAATAGCAACCATATATAATATTTGGAATATCTACTAGCCAAAATCTAAAAGATGAAAATATGGCCACACATAATATAAGTAACCATGTTGTCGCTTTCCATAATATTTCAATTTTGGAAGTCTCCTCACAACAGTTTGTAATTTTCTGCAAATACGAAAGTAATTTGTATAATGTCTTCCAAGTGTCGCTTTCTCTTTCAAGATAATAAACTGTCATTAATTGAAAAGTCGTGTAATTTAGTAAATTCGCAGATGTTAATATAGCAGAGTCCAAACTTTTAAACGCTATTATAATAAAATATCCTGACATGACAACGGCCAATACCAAACATGTTGTTAGACATTTTTGATAAAAGACTTTTCCTTCTTGTGGGTTTGAGGGAAATTGTCCCAATAAAGCGCCAATGCGTTGCCAACAATTAAGAAGAGAATCGTCTTTATACTTTGTATGTCGATCTAAAACAATGTCGTTCATTTTGAATTTATTTTACGACTATATTGCTTCGTGTTCTGTAGAAGTAATCAGGCATTGCATCTAAAAATTCATCATTGTCAACATGTTGACAAAATTTTATGCATAAATTATGAAAACAATTAATATATTATTTAATATAAATAACAAAATACTTAAACACTAAATCAATTATTCATATTAAGTAATTGGACCACATTTGAGGTATATTATGGATAATCTATTATCAATACCTTTTTTGTTGAGAATTGGCATCTAAACGTAGTTTTTGTTGCCACAGACTTTTGTAAACCGAATAATTATTTATTTATTTATTTATATTTCAATATTTTCTTTAATTAAAAATTCAATAATTAAGTTATATATTTTCTCATCTCTCATAAAATAGAAATACTTGATAGAAAAAGGATATTTAGGAGAAAAAAAATGAGGTGGTTGATATCAGCAAAAGGAGAATTGTCGCATTGACAGAAAGGTGAATAATACCAATTCTAGAAATGTGAGACGAAAAACCCCTACGATTTAGTTTCATCCTTGTTAAAGTCGTACAATAATACCTAGACATTTTAAAATTTGTAATGTGGGGAATAGATTTTGGAAGAACAGGGTGAATACATGTATATGGGTTATTTGAATGAGAAACAAAATATTCCCAAAGGTTTTCCCACCTTGATCTAACATTTCGTTTTATTACATGAATAATATCCTGCGGAGAATGAATATTTTTTTTTGTTAGAGTATTGTTACTAGTCATTACTGACTAACCTACAATTTTAATCTAAACATCTTACAAACTAATTACTTATCTAAGAAGTCCCCATTGGGCTGTCTTAATTGTTTCTATAGGAAAGCATCACAAGTTGGCGTGAAGATTTATTACACTGTTTTACACTAGCACTAACATTAGCGTTCACTGCACTAGCTCAAAAGGCTTCTTCCTTTTGAGCCTTCTGTTGAGTGTAGAGTTGTCCATTGACGTGGGAGTGGAGTCGACCCTCATGTTTCGCAGCAAACCTCTTTATTTCTTCTTCGATTGTTGGCATCTTCAGGTCTCTATGAAGATAATCGTTTCGGTAGAACCAAGGTGCATCAACAATACATCTTAGAACTTTATTTTGGAAAACTTGAATCATGTTGATATTACTCTTGCTGGCACACCCCCATAGCTGTATGCCATGAATCCAGATTGGTTTTAGGATTTGTTTATAAATCAGCAGTTTGTTGTGCACTGTCAATTTGGATTTTCTTCCTAGGAGCCAATACATTTTTTTGAATTTAAGTTCAAGTTCTTTACGCTTTTTTTTATGTGCTCTTTCCATTTAAGTTTTACATCTAGGTTCATCCCTAGGTATTTGGCTGAATCGTGATGCGGAATAACGTCATTGTTTATTCTTATTTGTTTTTGTTCATTTGGTCGAAGAGTAAAATCAACATGCACTGATTTAGTTTGATTTATTTTTATTTTTCATTTTTTTTGTCCATCGATTAATTCTGTTGCAGGTTTCCTGAAGTTTTTCTGAGGTCTCTGTATTGGTTCCGCCAACTGCCAATATTGCAGTGTCATCTGCAAATGTTGCTATTTTAACAGATTGTTGTTGAGGGATATCGCTGGTGTATAATAAATAAAGAACCGGTCCTAGCACACTGCCTTGTGGGACACCTGCTTTAATTTCTTTCATTTCGGAGTATGCGTCGTCCTGCTTTACTCTAAACATTCTTCCCGTTAAATATGATTGTAGAATATCGACATATTGTCTAGTGAGCATTTTTTCAAGTTTCTGTATTAGGCCAGCGTGTCAGACCTTGTCAAATGCTTGGGCTACGTCAATAAATATAGCTGAGCATATATATTTTTCTTCGTACGCTTTTTCGATGATATCGGCTATCCTGTGTACTTGATCTATTGTCGAGTGTTTGTTTCTAAAACCAAATTGGTGCGAAGGGATCAGATTTTTATTTTCAATTATTGGTTGTAGTCGTTTTAGTAACAGTTTTTCAAATAACTTATATATTATCGGTAACAATGATATAGGTCTATATGACGACACTTCATTCAGAGGTTTTCCTGGCTTAGGAATTAGGATAACTTCAGCCATTTTCCACGCATCAGGTATATATTTAAGGCGAAATGCTGCATTTATGAGGTATGTCAATTTAACAATAGCCTTCCGCGGTAGTTTCTGATAGGAGGACAGTGTTTACACGAATTTTTCATCATTTTAGTTGCCTTCCAGAGTGAATAATCATTTTCTTTATCATCTGTTAGCCCTACTAGGTATCTGTTGAAGGATTCTTCTTTGTGATTTAGAATTTCTCTTCTCAGTCTTTGGGTAGCCCTATTTAATATATTTTTATCTTCTGGTGATCTTGTCATCTGCCATTTCTTTCTGAGTTTTCTTTTTTCTGCTACTAGTTCTCTTATCTCGACAGGATAGTTTTTTCCAGCTGTTAATCTTCTTACTTTTGGTGTGTTCCTCCATGCAGCTTGCTGGATTTCAACTATAAACCTTTCCAGTTCTTCATCTAGCTGATTTTTCGTTTTTAGTGTTATGGTCAGTTGAATAGTATTTGTTAAGTCCTCTTGAAAACCTTTCCAATTAGTTTTCCGATTTGCTAAGGTCGGTTTGGCTTCTCTTTGAATAACATTATCACTTAGAGTAAGGATTACTGCAGAATGGTCTGAATCCATATCAAAGTTTTCTTCTACTTGTGTATAGTTTGGTGAAATTTTCCTCAGAATAAAGAAATCCAAAAGGTCTGGAATCTTATTTGGGTCGGTGGGCCAATAGGTGGGTTTTTCAGAAGATTGGTATGTACAACCAAGTTCTGATGCAGCTTGGTGCAATTTTTTTCCTTTGACTGTGGTTAATCTTGAACCCCAGTTTGTATGTTTGGAGTTGTAATCTCCACCGATTATAAATTTGTTACCTAGTTTTTTGAGTACATTGAGATAATTTTCTTTTTTCTGGTTATATCTTGGTGGGCAATAGATTGCAGCTATTGTAATTTTGCCCCCCTTAATGTTAATGGTGCTAATGGTTACCTGATTTTCTGGTTCTTTGATGCCTGGTTCCTCATAGTGGGAAATGTTATTTTTAATAATTAACGCACTTCCTCCTCTTGCTGCATTTGATGGATGGATAGTGTGATAGAAGTTATATCCTCTGAATTTAATGTATGACTCTGTTGTAAGGTGGGTCTCAGAAATCAGACATATATCTATTTTTTGTACGTCCAAGAAAACTTGGATATCAGTTTGTTTTCGGAGAATACCATTGGCATTCCAAGTGGCTATTCTAATATCTGTTTTGTCCATTGGTGGTTTTGTTATATGTTTGGGGTTTATTTAATTCTTCTAGCTTCTGGATCCTGTCAGAGAGTGAATCTATTCTGGTTATTAAGGATAATAATAATTCATGAGTAGTACTTTCTGCTAAGCTGGTTGACTGTGAATTATGCTGCGCAATTTGTGGCGTGGGATTCATGGATTCATGGTTGGTTGTGATCTTTGAATTGGTTGCTTCTGTGAGTTTGTTACCTGAGAATATGTTATTTCATTTCTGACAATAGGAAAAGCTTTTATAGATCTCTTCTGCCTCGTCATTATTTTAGGTTTAGTGATGTTAACCTTCCTTATCTGAAAGGTTTTAGCTACCTCACATCCTCTGTAGTTAGCAGGATGTTCCATTAGGCAGTTTATACACTTCGGTTGTTGTTCTGGACTTTTTACACAATTCTTCGTATGATGTTTTCCTACGCACTTTACGCATCTTGATTCTCTTTTTCAAAAGTTGTGCGTATGTCCAAATAACTGGCAGTTTTTGCATTGCGGAACTAGTTTTGACTTTCTTATGGTTTCTATTTTAACTCTTAGATTAAGGATTGCTTTGATTTCGTAGATTTTCTTAATATCTTCAATATTTTCGAGTGATAGCATGAATAGGGGCAATGGTTTTTTATTTAGTTTACGAGTGTTACCCTCGGTTAATTCTATTTCCTTCTTTATTATATTGACAGCTTCTTTACATTTTAATCCTTGACTTTGCAAGTCTTCAACAATATCTTCTGGTTTAGATGTAGATGGTAGACCTCTAACCATTACTTTAATGTCTCTGTTCTGTTTAACTTCATAGGAATGCCAATTTATTTCTTTGGCATTCAAGGTTGATATGACATTTTTGAAGTCTTCTTCTTGTTTAGTATTAATTTTAAACTGGTTATTGCTTAGAGCTGTGGCTTGAAAGGAAATTTTATTTTCTGCCAGTGTATGGCGCAATTCTTCATACTTATTGATGTTGCTTACTATTATCGGGGGAAATTTCACTGTTTTTTACTAATAGTTGGAAGAAGAGTGGATTCTTTATCAGCTAAATCGACTTTTTAATTTCCAACTATCCCTTTATGACTTTTAATCCAGATAAAAACGATCTTAATTTTAGAATTAGGAAAGACTGAATAATTTCTCTTACAATAGGATTTTTGTTAATATTGCAGGAATAGTTAGAAATTGAAAGTAAAACAGATTTCGAGTCTGAAAGAATAACCGATTTGCTTTCTCCATAGCCTTTTATCCAATTGAGTGCTTGTAAAATTGCAAAAGCTTCCGCTGTATCAACAGATGAATAATTTTGTAAATGAAATTGGGAAATAAAGTTTTCATTTTCCACATAAAA